CTTGAATTTAGGGAAATTGTTTTACGGCGTCGTTAGATAAAGTGGAAAAGTGTATTAAAAGAATGTGGAACAGGAAGGTTTCGATGTTTGTAATAGAAAGAAAGTTACTCCAGGGAAGTGACCCGCTGGATTTTTTTTTAGATAAATATGTTTCGAAGATCATTCACACTTTCACCTATATTCGTAAAATTAGACAAAAATTTCGATATAAAATATAATCAGTGTATGTATATTTTACGTTTAACAAAAAATTGAACATCCCGTCTCCACTTGACGTCGTTTCGTACGTTTATTGTGACGCAATTGACCCTTCTTTAGCACCTCACCCTAACAACTAATTTGCTCTCAGCCGCTTTAGTACCCATTAATTCCGGTCTATTCGTGTCCGCCAATCAACAGACTTTTCGCGGAATAAAATCACCTTGGACCCCTGAACCCTCCGCCCCATCGCCACCCCCCCATCCACGTCACTACGAAAATTGCTCCCACATCTCCACTCTATCGACAGATATCGAAACGTCGATTTTAATTTAAAGCGAAGTGCAATAGATCGGAAGATATAAATAAGCTCAAAATCAAGTACAGCGTCTAGGTGTATATTTGCGAGGCCGCGCGTCGCGACGCCACTTGCCAACTCCATCCTAATCAGTTCGTTAGTGGCCGGCGTCGCCTTCGAAGAGCGGCCGCAGTGAACGAGTGTTTCGAAAAATGACTTTTCCGCACTGGTTGCGAACGAAACGTGCTTCGAAATCGTCGAGCATGGACACGTTCGGACCCTTCTTCTTTGAAGAAGATGAGTAAGAAAGCCAAGATGGTAAGAGCGCGCCACTCTAGCATCGACATGCCGGACCCGGAGGTCGTGGTGAAGAAGAAGCAAGACATGCTCACGAAAGCGAGGAACAAGCTGATGAACCTGGGGGACGTACTGAAGACCGGGAAGAACGTGGATGGTGAGCACCACAAGAAGCCTGTGACGCACGCGATTGATTATATCTTCAAGCACTGTCCCAAGGAGAAGAACCACGTCTACAGTAACTCGCACACGAAGAAGAATGCTCTGCAGAAGCAGAATTCGGTGGGGTCGTACCCGATCAAGATCGAGATCACCCAGGACTCGGATGAAGAAAGGGAGAGTGCTCAAAGGTCGCGACCGGCTACTGTTTGTGTGGATAAGATGAGTGAATGTAGGGAGACTGCCGCTTTGGCTTTGGAAAGGCCAAGGAAAAAGTTGTCGTTTCGGGAACCGGAGATCGTAGGGCGTACCTTGAAGCCTCACGATTGGAAACCGGGGGATAAGGGTCCGGAACCGGAATTGAGGCGGAGTTCTAGTTATTGTAACGGGATTTTGCACCGGACTCCTAGTTTTGAAGATTCCGACTTAGAGGTACTTGAACTTAAGCATTTTCATTGCCGGATCGTTAAGAATGATGGCGGTCGTATAAAATATTAACAACTATGTGCTTTCGAGTTTGTTTTATTATATTTACAAGAGGCAGAATGTTCTGACGAGAGGCAGCTTTCTTAGCATCTTGTGAAGCTCGTCAAAGTTTGACGGGCGGAATTTTGTTTTCGGTTTAAATAAAGTTTTGAAAATTTTGCTTTGTCAGAGTCAAATAAGTGGAACTAGTTTCGAGTCAAAGTTTATTTTTCTGGTACTGCAGTGTACAGAACTTGAAATAATTTGTAAACGTAAAAACGTTTTTCCTTGCGAGAATTTCAATAGTTCTCTTTTATATTTCGAAAAGAAACCATGAAAATTGTTGTATTAACTAAATAAATTCTCTTATTTTTGAGCCTCTACATGTAATTGATTATAACATCGATTTTCCCAAGGAATTCCTAATCTCAAAAACAAGTTTCCATTGAAAACTTATAGGAATATTCTTGTATTCTAGAGTCAGTATTTCGTTGGGAACAGTTCTTGTCTTCAATAATCCAGCTTTTATGTTTATATAGAGACTAGATTTCACGTTCTGCGTCTGTACAGTGTGTAGATTTTTCAATAATGTTGTCATTGCGAAGTTAAAATTCTAACACAAAAAAAACTCCTTTATTCACATTTTTCTTTTCTTTTTCCAAATGTTTTTAGACCACTTTTGAAGGAGTACATTTGGAGTTAACTTTTTTTACCACATCAACAATAATATTTTTGCGGTATATTAGCTACCTTATTTGAAACACTTATAAAGTTGAATTTTCGTTGTTGTAATTTTGGATGACTTATGGGCAATAATTTGTTAATGGTGCCTAACACTGAATTACCATAAAATTGGATTTGATATTAGCGTTCTCCTAAAATTTTTAGATTTAAAATTTAACTATGTGCGTGTTCCATGAATATATCGCAGTCAAACATACAATAATATGTTCCTAGTTACTGTTTATAATACGTTTGGACAGTGTGATTTTTTATATTTCTGTCCTTGTTGTTGTTGGCCACGGCAGGTACGTCAGTAGCGCAATTGAAACGACTGACGTAAGCGCTATGACCAACTAGAGCAGAAATTTAAAAAATCGCCTAATATAAGGGAAAAAGCCCTCGTGTTAAAAAATCCCCAAAAAATGTACAATATTGATATTGATACCGTTTTTATAAATAAAAATCAAACTGAGCGGTATGCTATTATTATATTTAACATTTTGAATTTTAGCGGAAGCCATTTGATGTTTGTTTAAAAAAATTGAAATTTAATTAATTTTTAACTATTTGATATTTTTGGCGTCAGATCTGATCGCGTTTTTAACCTGTCGTGAAATTTGATTTTAATGAGATTTCAATTTACCAATAAATGAGATGTGCAATCAAAACTTGAGATGCTTGCTGTTTTAAAAATACAGAATCAAACAAATTTCAACGATCGATTTAAAGTAACTATTTGTAGAAACGTACAGGATGTATCATAATTAGGTATCGAAATTTCATCGTCGTGTTTCCTTTTAAAAATAAGCTAAAAAGTCTTATAATGTTTTATACAATGAAAATAATCCAGCAATTTTTTTTCAAATAATAACATTAGTTAGTTACTTAACAGTATTATGTTTAAGTCGCAATAATTAAAATAGTGATATTTCTAAAAATTTAGGATTCTAACTAGGAAGGAAGGAGTTCTTTTCAAATTAGTATATCGGGTGATTTTTTAAATTTATGCTTTAGTTGGCCATGAAGCTTACGTCAGCCGTTTCGACTGCACTGCTGACGTACGCGCCATGGCCAACTAGACGAGAAATTTAAAAAATCATACGGTGTATTAAATATACAAGATTTTTTATGGATAAAATTAGCTGCCAATTAACATAAAGATTTCAACAGTTTTCTGTATTTGTGCACCAAAGCGACAAAATCTTTGGAAATACACAAACTAGAGCGACTTTCGTCATTATTTTTTCCGACGAACCCACAAATAAATAGGATTTATTGTCCACTGTTAGTCAACACGTCTGCAAATAATAATCATCGTTAAAAATGTAGAATAGAATAATAAATTGTTCTTAATGGAAATTTTGTTAAGTGGATGGATAGCTTTTAATCAACCATTATTTACTTAGAGTGAACCCTTTATATTTCCCGAGCGTAAGCTAAGGAATCTAGTCCGTCGGGTGACTTGCTACTTTCATGCTTTCTCGACAATTACTGACCTCTAGAGTACGAAAAAATAGGTTCCCCGTTACCGTTCGTCTGTCTGTCCTGTGTGTCGATTTTTATTAGCTAGATAATTTTCGATTGCCGTGAAATTTTGTATGTATAATTAAAAACATCATATAGATGGTAAAACATTAACCAAAATTTGTCTAAATATCCCTACTAACAATTTTATGACGTCAAATAATGCACTTCCGTAGTTGTAGTTTATGAATACTAATTAATTAATTAGTCCTCTCCTCTGTTTTGAGGAGACAAAATCAATCAAATTTCATTTTCTACTAACATAAATGCATACTTTGATCTGTCGCCGCTGATGCTGGTTATCGGCACGTACTTAATAGTGGAATTTTTCCAAATATAAACATAAACAGTCGAAGTTAAACATGTGCTGAGAATACATTTTTCTCTCATTTAAATATATGTCATGTTTTATTCAAAGACGACAGCTTCTAGTAAAAAGTTAAACATTACAAGTAATTTATACACCAAATTTAACACCCATATTTTGGGATAAAAATAGTATATTTACCCTCTCTCTAATGATACTAACCTTGTTAGCAAAACAGCAGTTAGTGTCAATCTACTCAGCCATCGGAAGTATATTTTTTAAATAATGTTAAAACACTATCAGTTTAGGTACTTAAATTTGTTGCGAATAATTAACTTTAATTTATAACACATATTTGGCCAAACATTCATAAATATTTAACAGGAAATATAGATATTTTTATTTTTAGTTGATTTGTTGAATCTTCAATGGGCCATGTGGTTTTTAAATGTAATAATTGCCTTTCTTGTCTGTGGAGGCGAAGTTCTTTGGATTTTTTTTCTAATCACCTAAAGGCGCCTAAAGGAGTAAATGGGAATTGTTGTCTCTGACTTTTCTTTGTGGAAGGTAGAAGATTCGGAAACATTTCTCTAAAAATTTTAATTTCGAACTTCTTAGTGTCTTTTTCTATGTCCGGGAGGAAAAAAATTGTTACCAGCGATTAGAGTTTGTTCAACACCTTTAATTTTTTCTAATAATCATAGTGTGTTTAAATGGGTTTTCGTGTTTTCTTTTTGTATGTCGAGTTGATGTTATGGAGACTAATTTTTTTGAGTTAATTAATAAATTCAAATGGATTTTTAACTGAACTTAAGTTCCTTAACAGCTAAATGATTAAATTTCATGGCTAATGATTCGGAACCTCGAGGTAGCTGTATTAATTGGCGAGGTAATTGGACGTATCGGCTTGTAAATTTTGACCAAATAAGACACTTTTGACTTAATTTGATCAGTTAAGAAAAAAGCATAGGTATACGAAGTAGTCCAACATACATGTTTTTGTACACAATAACATTTTCCTTGTTACAGAGCCAAGCCATGCGAGTAGTCAGGACGATAGGTCAAGCTTTCGAAGTGTGCCATAAACTGTCCATAACCGCTCCTGAGAACGAGGCTCAGGACCAGGACGAACAAGATACGCTTACTCAAGACTTGCTCAGCGACCGTTTAAGCGACATAACCGACAAGCCGAAGAAAGGTACGTTTCGCGGGCGCTCGTCATGCCTGTCAGAGCCCCGAATTGATTAATTTCGGCCAACGCACGACTTTCCAAAGGACGGAAACGACGTTTTTGTCATAGAGGTCGCGCTTAATTAAATTAACAAATGGCCCGGCATACTTCTGGCCAGATTTAGTTCAAGTGCACACCTTGCCCGAAAAATTCGAGGGAATTTCGGGAAACGCTCGCAGACGTAAATGGCGCCAATCGGCCAGCGATTTTGATCGTTGTACTAACACTTCAATCAAAGACGGCATAAAGTCCGCGAATTCGTGTTTGTTTTAAGACACAACACGTTCTTCCAACTGCTTCGTGTCCGATAACATACATGAAGAGTTTATTTTTTATTGGCGTAATGTTGAGCGGGAATGGCTTTACTTAACAATATACAGGGAATCCGTGTTTACACGTTAAGGTGAGGAAAACGGAGCGGCGAATTCTGTTTCATTATCAACGCCGGTGTTATGGTTATGAGAGTTGGCAACAGTTGGAGTGGCGATTGTAGCTAAAGAGCTTGAGCGTGACATAAGTTATTGTAAAAATTTGTGCTCCGGTTCATTCAATAAAAGTCAAGGTATTATTTTTTTTTCTTCATTGATAGAGAAACTTGGCGCTGTGGCGGACAATTTGTAGTTTTGTTTCAAAAGAAAATGAAAGCGTGTTTATGCATACTGTCGGAAATCTTTGAGATGATTTATTTGGATTCGGATCGGTTATAAATGTATTTCGGGCTTTTTTATTTTATTACATCTAAGAAAGTGAAAAGTAAAATCTCGTCAGTTTATAAAATTGTATTTTTACGCAACTTACGCAGGATTCATTTAATTCACTCATTTTCATTCATGTCTTCTTGACGTACGTTTCTTTTTTATTTTCGTCTGAATATTGCTTCGGTATTTTAATAGTAATAGCGATCGTACAGGATGTTTCACTTAAAATTTACTGAGTCTCTCTTCTAACTTTTTGATTCATGAATTACTGATGGTCAATGTACCTGTGTATTAGTTAATAAAGGACAAAATATATAAACTAGTCGAATTTTCAACAATAAATGACGTTTAAATGAAATGACCGAAAGAATCTGGATTATAATAAAAATTTGAAAAATTTTCAAAGTAAATACGTTCACAGGTTTCACAGCCGGTCCGATCCAAGGCTACCACTATATTACAATGTATTTTTTCTATTGTTCACAAACAAGTAACAATACTTTGTTTATTCAAAAGCGCACGAGATATAGAAGTCGTGACATTTGCTACGTAGATGATTCGGATTGGTTGCAACGCCTTAAGTAGTGATGAAACACACTTAAAACGAACGTATTAGAGAGAAGAGTGAATAAACTAGCTTATGAATGTGTCTTTTATTTATTTAAATTAAATATACTCAACTTAGATCTATATTAATATTTTTTTCACATCTAATAACGCTAATGGTATAGTTAATTTAACACACCATAAATTTTAAAAGACTAACATATTGCTGCAGTATTCTTACAAAAATAAATCGCGTGCACTATGTACATACACAACGATCTAAAGTGGAGAACAGAGCGATGAAAAATTCAGTCATGAAACCTGACAAATGTGCGAGGTTTTTCATATGAACTACATTTTATTAGCAAAATATTTTAAACACTTAGCGGCGTCAAAATTTAGACAGCTAGTTATTTTATTTCTTGAAAGCGCAAGTTTATATTCCAGTCTGTCTGTGATATTTTTACTAAAACTTCAGTAAACTGCTAATCTACGGAATTATTAAACCACTTGCTTTGAACTTTTACTAGGTTGTATTGAAAATATTTGGTGATAACTTCGAAGTTATGACGTCAGTGACGTAAGCATTAGCTTCATTACTTCGATTATTCGACAAGTGCAAAAAAATTGACTTTATTTCTCAGTTTGTTTCTATCGAATTCCAGACGGCCACACACAGATATAAATTACGTGTGATTAATTAGTTATAATTTCGCCTTTGAACAGCTGCATTTATTAAACAGCGGAAACGCAAAAGGTAATAAATTCAATTTCTCATTTCTCGTAGTGAGATCACCATTATCCCGGTTTATGTTATTTCTCCAGTAGCAATCATGATTGTTATTAACCGAGTTATCTTTAATATCAATCACGATTGCAAAAACAATGATTTACAGTTCACTTACGTTACCGGACGTTAGTTTCCTTGATCTAAATAAGCGAATTTGCACAACTAATTCAATTTTCTCCCTCTACATTGTCCCCTACATCACATGCAATACACCTCTCATTACCACCACGTCAAGCTTCGCATCGAAAATCCACCTCCCACGGGAGTGCATCGATTGCACCTTAATCCTCGATTGTTCAAGCGCATTTGTACAAACAATCCGACTCTTATATAAATTTAATCTGCGCCACTCCTCCCGAATCCTTATTTGTCCTGGAGGACTCGTCGAGCAATTAGTCGAATTGTGTCCCGCTATTTTTAGTCTTCGTGTCTCGGTGTCTGCTTTTGAAATGGGGGTTCATCGGCCATTTGCTAGATTGTTCTAAACGTAAACTTGTCAGCATAAAATTAGAGTCAATTACGCAAAGAAGATCTATTTAAAAGCGATATTAGGTAATTGTGGGCAAAATGGCGGTTCGGATACTCGGAATTCCGCGGCAGCGCCGCCCTAATTGTCTTGTCGGCTGTCAAAACGCGGATAATGAATGACAAATAGTGGAGGGTTTCCTCGCCAGAAAAAAGCGAAAACATGGGAACGATCTGAGGTCGAGAAAAAATCATTCGTAGACGAGTACCAAGTAAATCTGAAACGAATTTGTCAGATGACGTCATCAAGCCTCTGGAAGGGATGGATGAATTGTGATTAGCAATTAGCGATTAGAGTCTGTGCAAGATTTTACAGTAATCAGTCCTATCGTTTCGGAGATTATCTGTGTGCTCGCCAAAGACGGCAGACAGACGAAATCGGGGCTACTTTTTCGTAATCTAGGAGCTATCAAACGTCGAGAGACATGCAATTGGCCATTCGCCAAATGGACCTTATTACAATGGAGTATAGAGAGTAAAAGTTGATTATTAGATCGAGTCGGATCCTCGGATTGGGAACTTCCTTGATATTGTATAATCTCGTCTTTTAACATGGGTTGAGCAAACTTCTATTGAAATTAAAGACGATTTTCCGGCCGACTACATCACATTGTAAAACTGGCTATTTGCACTATTATTATTACACAAATTAGCCGAAATGCAATAAAAGAGTTTAAAGTTAGCTGTAAGTTTCTGGACTTTAACTGTTGTTGAAAAATTCCAATTTACGAGTGCGAACTTTGCAAAACAACGGTAAATGTGACAAGTGGTGGGTTTAGTTTAAAACCATTTTATCAGCGTATTTTTACCGGTTGTTATGGCAATTAACGTTACGAACCCCGCTAGAAATAGCGTCTAAACCCCGCTTCTGTGAAATTAACCAAATCGCTCGTTGTGGTTCCTTTCAGACGTCTCCGTCAGACGTCTGCAAATCGATTTAGATTACGAAAATGAAAATAAATTGAGCATTTACGATTGCTTGTAAAAATTTTAAACGTGTGGAAATTACGACTTGTTTTGAGATCTTTAAGTACTGCCAACAATAGTTTTATTTCTGGGCTTAAAATACATAGGCCTGAAACAATATGGTGGAGTTTCCTGATTTCGAGCTATATTTACGTCCGACGTTACGGCTTCCTTCCTGGAAAATGCACACCAGATATTTAATTAGCGGAGGTGCATGTGTCACTTCGCGAAATGAGGTTAGAAGTTGAGATTTAGCAGGTTTTTGTGACGCGGCATCTCTTAATTATCTGTACAGGGAGCACATTGGAAAAGAGATCTGGGTCGTCTCTCAGGTTCGCACTTTCTGCTAATTAGATGCTGCTCCATCATAACTCATCCATTATCCATGTTCCTTTTTACCACCTTATTCCTTCGTTGCCGTTTTTGTGTGCTGTTTGTCTCATTTATTGATTTATTTTTTTGGCCTTTCGCAATTTGGGGTGATAAACAAGCTTTGTCTGACGACGAAGAGGCAAGAATTAGGAACTAACCCAAAAAATATGCGTCAAGTTGATGAAGAAATACTGAGGTATTTCGGGCACGTCCAGTGTATTTAATACTAGCAATGTAGCGTAGTATTAAATATATCGTGTTTTTTTTTTTTTTGATTGGTGATCTAATTTTTGCTGCCCACTATATCATCAAATTACATAAGTTGTTTCTTAGACCACACAACTAGGTTTGTAGAGGGTTGCCTATAATCTCGTGTCTTAACAACGTAAATCAGGCTTTTTTTTTATTTGAAACTACAACCGTGACCCTTAACTACCAACGCATCCCTTGTTCTAGTGCAGCGCCGCATTCCTCTATACCTGAAATAAATACGAAAGTTCTCCAATTTTCCCACTCGTGCCTCAATTTTGAAGCGTCAAATCCAGACCAGTAGTGCTTCAGAGTTGGAAACTCTCTCAAGTTCGCCATAGTTGTTATGCAACAACTCCTGCAACACTTCACAACTAGCACAGTTTATGAATCATCAAATTGTTGCAGGTATTTTCGTTCCCCCTCGGATAAATATAATCAAAAATACAAGCGATGCGTCGCACGCACTTTGCTTTGAGTACTGCTATTTAAAACCCCGGCTCGCTATAAGTGTATGTTTTTCGCGCTTCTCCTTTGCTAATAATAGAGTAATTAATTAGCCAGTAATACTGGCGTCGAAATTATCTCAACAGATCAAACAGATTTACGTCGGATCGAGCCATGTTGGTATTTATTTCGCTCATATTACCGCCAGGATCTATGAAGCTTAACATCGTTCCGAATAAACACGTCGTACCATTTGTTCTAAAATTTCATTAAAATACATGAATCGAAACCTGTAGTAAACAGAGGTCGTCTTGTGGTTAAGAAAAAACTAGCCGACCGGATTCCGCACTCCTCCATTGCGCTCCTCTCAACACCCGATTTTTTAAAAGCTGTAAAAATTTATGGCCGCAATGAAACCAAAGAAATTGAAAGTAAACAAATCGTTCCCAGAAGAACTTCGGACGCTTTTTTCGTCTAATTAAAATAAATGTCTTTATTCTGTTCGTTTTTGATGTGGTAAATTCGTCGATGAACCGCTGCCAAAAGCTCCAAAGATGCATTGTTGTGAAGTAGGACGTCATTACGCGTCGTTTTCGGTTTCGCAGACGCTTTTTCACATGTCTGAAAAGTTGGAACGCGGCCTGTTTACCATCTCTTGTTTGAACTTCTCAACAACGCAAAGGCTTAAACTTTCCGAAAAGAGAGTTATGAAACCCGCGTAACTTCGGAATAACAGATAACAGCAAATACTGGTGTAATCAGGTTTCTTGAGCCAATGGTAGCAAGAAACAACTTCCACACTCCGGAACTTTACGGAGTTACCTACCGAAATAATAATAATTAAAGCGGATGGGCTGCTTGTGTTGGAACGTGAAAGTGTGGGAAGACGTTTCAGATGAAGATTTGACTGGATTAGCTGCAGGAATCTTAGGGAAATTAAAAGTGTCTATTCAGTTGATGTTCGTAACAATTTCAGGCATTTCAGCTTTAGAATTCTATATTTAATACCTGTACCACAACTGTCTTGAAATATTACGTGCATGAAGGCTTTTATTTCTAGAAAAACCATAAACTCAAAACGTGATCTTCACCTACGACTGGGGCACTTCTCTCATATAGACAGCCATATTTTCCATCGTAAATAACATAATTGCTTAATAATTTTCAAGGAAAGCATAAAACTGTACGCACGTTCGAACACAATTAAAAATTGAGTACACTTTACAACAAGTGTAGCAACCTTGAGCACCTACACCAAATTGACGTCTTATAAATGTTGTCCTGTCCCACATTTTGCCATCAGGAAGCCCAAAAACCTGCTTGTCAATGCTCACCACCAACCTCTCCAAAACAAACAAAGCGATAAGCAAAAACCGTCAGCCTCCTGTCGACTTCGAGAGACATTTCCGTAGCGGCTTCCGCGGTCAGTTACTGTATATTTAAACCCACTTTATTTATTTACTCACGTCTTATTTTTACAACAATACATTCTAAATATATTTTTATAAACCCTCGTATCTATTAATAAAATATAGTACACACCAAACTTTTACCTCGCCGAAAGTGAAAACAGCGCGTCCGCTGCCCGAGCTTTCAGAATTTTAAGCACCCTCTCCGGGGTGAATGATGATAACACCCAACCTGTATGTAATATAATGTGATAAGAATTATGATATATTGACCCGTAACCGCAACTTTCCTTCGCCGTAGTTTATTTTGATGAAGCTTAACTGAAATAAAATATTCCGACAACGAAAGCTCGAGGGCTTTTATGCTATTGAAAGTCGGCCGTTTAGCTTCCGGCCGGAATAAAAAAGTAATAGTATCGGAAAAATCGCACCTATCAATCGCCGGAATTCGCATTTGACGTTAGTTTTCTAAAACTTTCATTTCCATTATCTCGATGCGTTGGAAAAACCTGCTCTGGGGGCGGTGATATATCACGAGTGTTCTTCTCGTGCGCAATTCATTTGTTATCAAGTCGAACCATTTTAGAGACACTAATGGATTCTGGAAATAAAAAAGCTCCAAAAAACGGGCTTGAATTAACACGAAACCGAAGATTATTTTAGTCACGCGTTCATGATAATAGTGATAATGATAAAAAATATTGATATTTCTCGATTACTTATTTATCGGTATAAGAAAATCGTGAAAAAGTGTTTGTTCAGCTTTTTTTAAGTATTACGTAAACAGCGTTGTTGTTCAGGGATCTAATCTTGGCCCACTTTCATTTTTAATCTTTAACAATGACGTTAACCGTACAAAAGACAAAGCTTTTATTTATGCGGATGATTTAAAAATAGCAGGAATTAGAAGAAACGTTGATGATTGTTTTGGAGTACAGGATGGTGGCAATTTAACTTTATTGTGTAAAAATAGCATGCTAGTGACAGAAAAAAGTCAGTCGTGTCTCAGAAAACTGTGTCCAGACTTCTAATTTAAGTGCCACCATAAACAATTTATTTTTTTAACACTAATATTTTTACTAAAACGTAAATTAACTCAAGAAGAAGTTATATTGATTGAAAACACAATTTTCACTAGATTTAGAAAAAATTGAAAAAGTAGTTCTCGAAACATAGGAAAAGCGAGATTTGTATGTAAATTTTAATAAACAAAAATGGCATATATTAGCTAATGAATAAAAAATATGTGCGTTTTCTGCGATAAAAAAGCTCTTTCACAATGCTCCCATGACGTATTCTCAATTACTGGTCTTCGTCTACTTTTCCCTTCCAAATAATAAATATTTTTCTTTTTTTAAATAAGAGGCCACGGTCACCTAATCTAAACCATTTTAGTTTTAGGATTAACAATCGTGTGTCAAGGTAACAATTATCACTGTAAAAATCCGGCAACATTAAAATCGTTTTATGTTCTTCGCTTTCTACTAGAAATTCTAAAACCCATAACACACATCGTTCCGCGAACCTCTAATAAATAATTGTTAAAGAAACGACCGACTCGATCTCTGAGTGCACTATTGACGTCACCGACGATTTCGCAGTGACCTAAGAATAAACAGGGTGTTGCGGAATACGTGCTCAGGTTCGACGACATTTTATGCGTTTTTGCATTTTCTTTTGTCGCGGGGGAGCTATTTTTGAAAGTGGGTCTCCGTCGGATAGTTAAGCTCTTTTGATGTTTATATTTACTGTTGGGAGCAGATGGAGCTGAAAAATTAAGAGACTTGGGAAATTCATTTTCTCGAGGTGCACGCTTTATTACGAGCGTAAAATATCGCTGAAGTAACGCTAATAAATCAGATAGACCGCCGAAATAACACTAAACACCGCCAGTGCATAAATTTTCACAATTTATTTATTATCTCTTCGCGCAAACATAATAAAAATATTTTCCGACTTTATTAACGTAATAAGTGGGCTTTTGGAAGAGGTGTTTATGGAAGTCTATAAATGTGGAAAGTGTCGTAAGGGAACGGCTCGCTGTATCAATGTTTGACGAACGAGGGGCAATTTTTAACATTAACAACGATGTAAATTAATAAATCAGCAAAAATAAATTCTGCGTTTTGTTTATTGGTTCGTTTATGTAGACAGAGAAGCGAGATGACATGAAAAAATATACACCGCGTCATTCAACAATGCGATGAAGACAGATATGTTCCAGTTTCCCAGTTAGCGTTTGATATGTTGAAAAGAAACAAAGCTAATAACTCCTTCCAACCCAATCTTTGCGTTTTAATTTCATTAAAACACTTATACAACACCCACCGAAAACGAGAGGATTAAATATACACCACTCTCAGAAACGCCATTATGCTTTACAATAGACATCATTTTATTCCACGCCTCCACATTCCCACATTTTACAAAGTGGCCCCTAATTTACCGCATTCCCCCAACCCTCATAAAAAATTTACTTCAACAGATAACACCCACATCATCCCCGCCGTTCTAAAGAGGCTCAATCGCCGTCTGACGTTATTCTTGCATCCTAAATATTTTGAATGTGTACATTATCAACACGTTTTTAGTCAAAACTGATAATCTTGGAATTATGACTATCTTTATTATTATTAAAAACGAAAATCTTCCAGATTTGCTGTTTGAAGGTGCCAGCGACAAAATGTCTCTACCCCCCGACGACTCCAGCCTCAGAGACTCCTACCCCGACGCGAAATCCTGCAAGCCGCAGCAGCTCGACATCTTGCCGCCCCCGCCCACGACGAATACACGGAAGTCGCCCCTGGTGAGCCGTTCCGGGAACCGCTACGTTTTACTTATGCCTTCTTTGCAGACTTCTGCGGAAACGTACTCCTCGCCCCACAGCGACGTGCTGACTAGCGGGAGCGGCAGCGGCGGCAGCAATTCCCTGCCGCCGCCGGGAAGCGCTCTGTCGGCGCACCACGAACTGCAGTTGCTGCGGGAACAACTCGACCAGCAGAGCCAGCAGACGCAGGCGGCGCTGGCGCAGCTGCAGCTGGCGAGGGAGCAGCTGGCGGCCGAGCAGGTAGACAAAGTGCAACAGTAAATTGCAGCGTTTTAGAAAATTTGTAACCGAGTCATTCGTATAATCTTGACGATTTTTTTCTTTGTTAGAGTGCGAGACTGGAAGCTCAGGCCCGGACCCACCAGCTGTTGATCCACAACCGCGAGTTACTCGACCACATCGCCGCCCTGGTCTCCCACCTCCAGGGCGGCGAAAAGTCTGGCCAGCAGCCAACGCCGCCTCACGTAACCATGCCCCAGGTAAGTTTCCAGCATGTAAAGTGTCTCTTTGTCCCAAAAATAAATTGCCTGCTGCTTGCTGCCTTGAAAACTAAGGGGCGCTCACACCCCTTCGAAAAGTGTTTGCATGGAGTTCAAACGGAAATTTCTAATCGAATATAGCTGCTCCAGTAGAAATTTGACGTGAAAGCATGGCGGCGCATTGTGCTTCGATTACATTGTGCAGAGACTTAATATAGTGGTGATATTTCCCTGGTGAATTTTGACCAAGAGCGTATTCCCAGGAAGAACTCCAAGAGATTTTTAGTTTTTGTTTTGTTATATAATATTTGCTTTAATCTGTTGGAGTTCTTGGTGAGGATAAATACAGCCGAATCCAGGATTCCTTCGGGAAATATCTCGCCCGTTCTGAATCATCTTGCCGCAGCTTTCGCTGCCATCTGAGTGGTTTGCATTCTGTGTGCAGGTCTTTGCAAAACCTTCGGATAATAATAACCATATGCTTCTGGACATATTCACCACGACTAAATGTTAGGTAATAACAAGTTGCTGTTATTAACATTCGGTGTTGTTGATGTTGCGTCGTTCTCGTGAGCGCCGGTCGCATTTCCCTGAAAATTTCATGTCCGCAAGAGTTTTGTTTCTCTCTTTTTTTGTAATTTCGTCGTGCCGGGCTGATAAATCTCCTATGTTGACGCCCTCGCGTTTAAATATAGAGCATCAAGTGAAAATGAATGAAAACCATTATTACGACTAATTTGCATTAAAACAAAATTTTAATTTGTCGGTGGATAGCGGGCGGTTTTTATGTTTTTTAATTTTGTTTTATAGGGCGGCTTTATCGAGCGTTAACTTTTCGAATGAAAAGTTGTAGCAGCTGAAGTTTGCGTTTTAAGTTAATTAAGGCGGTCTTCTGAAAACTATTAACAGTATCCATTACTTTGCTTTAGAGTTTGCGAATATTCCGTCCTTCTTTGTTGGCATTGCTAAGTTTAACTGATCTAGTTTAATAATATAGAATATCACATGTAGAATAGTGCAAGAGCAGAGGATGTTCCGTTAATTATTATAAGTAGGACGTTTTATGTTTTTGGCGCTTTTCAAGTAACTGATTTTCTTTTGAGGGCGCAAAAACTGCTTAAAACTTGATTTATTTTAAATTCGTTTTGAGTGAAGTATATGGCTGATTTGTTTTTTATTATACTTCAGTGTAATTTTGACTTGGATCAAACGTAGAATACGTTTAGTAGATGTGTAAAACAACTGGATTCATAGAACTCAGTAATAGAACAAAAGATAATGACACTAAGAAGAAAAGGTGACCCCTCTTTTTCTTTTACTCTTTCTCTTTCTCATCCCTCCTTCCTTTCTCTCTTCTCTCTCTGTATATTTTTTCCCTTCTGCATTTTTTTTCTGTTCATTGTGTTGCCTCTCTCTGTTTCACTTTTCCTCCATTGTGTTTCCTTGTCGTTCCCCTTCGTATCTATTCAGAATTTTTTGTTGTCTTTGGCTTCCCCTATCCCCCTTTCCAGCTCTCTCTGTTCTCCTTTTGACTCCTCTTTCTTTCTCTCCGTGTTTCCCATCTTTATTCTCTAGTTTTTTCCTTAGTATCTTTCCTCTCTCTATTCCCCCCGTGCTTCCTTTTTCTCATCTGCCTTTCTCCATCTTTCTAACTCTTCTCCCTGTCCTACTTTCTATATTTCTCGTTTCTACAGGGGAATAAATACATGAACACATTGTTAATTTAATGTAAAAATAGTTTCATACCACGCAGATAAACTCAAATGTAACAGTAACACAAAAAAAATTAATAACCTTCATCGTAAACATGCAACGTAATCAAGAGCAGCCCACATCTTTTGTTCCGACGAAACAAACATCTCGTTTCTTTATTAAATTCCACACATCATCTTTCTCAAATCGCCCTCGCTCATTTCTCTCGGTGCCCCGAAATTACACAGACTTAATCAACCCCGGTCTTAAAAAAGCGGCCCCTAATCTCGCCACTCTTTCGTTTTGATTTGGTGCTCTAGCGGGATTTTTCCCTCCGCTTAATTGTAAAAGCCCCAATAGCTCACCTGGGAATGACGGCGACGCTTTCCGCACACCAGTAAAAAATGTTTAACGCGTAGCAGCAACAACCTCCGGGGTCGGGCGACGCCTACGGTTCGGAGCACCTCTCCGAAACGGCCTCTCTGGACAACAGCCCTGCATTCCAAGCTCTGGGACTGAATCCCCAAGGACTGATAGAGAACCGGGCGGTGACTTCGTGCCTGCCGCCCTCGCCCCTCCGGACCAACTACAATCCCGCGGGAACCGTCTTCAACTTTTCCTATCCTCCGCCGATGGACGCCGGCTTCGACTCGCAGCTGCTGCAGAGGCTGCAGAGCATGGGCGGCTACAGCAACCCCTCCCCGTACGCGTACAACTACCAGACTTTGCCGTTCTTGTCGGGGCTGTACGGACAGCCCCTCATCAACAACAACTACACTCTGCAGCCGCCCCCGCAGAAGAAGATGGCGTCGTCGCCGATGGGGCTGCGCCACTCCTACGCCGGCACCAGCCCGGTGATGGAGCGGAGGCTGAGTCCCGGGAGGAACGTGGAGTCGCAGTACTCCCCGGCTGCTCAGTACTCGCCTCCGCAAGGAAACCACCTACAAGTGCAGGGGAATACCCAAGGGAACCACCTGCAGGTGCAGCAGAACGTGCACCAGAGGCAGCCGAGTCCGGACCGGCGCGACAGCCAGTTCATAAAACCTTTGTCGCAGATGGGTACTCTCACGACCACGGATTCCGAGGGGAGAGTGCGGGTGATAGTGCCGGTGCCGTCGGGCGGCGCCGACGACGCGGGGAACATGCTGGCGAACTTGCGTCTGAGTGATACTTTGAGGGTTAGTGATGACTTGAGGACCCTCAACGGGCCGGCGATCACCAGGTCCACCAGTGAGAAAGTACCGAATAGGAGTGAGTTGATGTCACAAGTGCAGCGCACGATGTGGGCTAGACACACTACGAAATAACGTGTTCTTGTGTAAATAAACTGTTACATTACAACATATCTGATAGTAGAGTTCGCGATCGTTAACTTAAGGATTAATTATAGCATTTTGTTTTGTTTTTCGTCGGTTTTGTTTATAAAACACGTCCAGAACTGCTACCAGATTGTAGGATCCCAAGTAAATATAGGCCTGTTTATGTTAGGGTATTAATCCAGCGTTTTCATGATAAGCAGTCTCTTGGAGCTATATTGTTGGAGAAAACGGGAGGTTTTATAATCCTAGGTGACTAAGCCGTGTAGACGAATTTTCAATATTTAAAAATGTTAAGGGTTTTTATGAAATTGTTACCGTGAAATTTCGCGCGACGGAATGTCAACACGAATTCGTCTTTTGTGTTCCGAGATATTTCCTTTGTATTTCTAGCGCGATTTATTATTGATTTTGAGTATTTCTGCCGAGTGTGTTGACATTCCTGATTTTGTTACTTGTAATTTCGGTTAAATTGAACAGAAGCTGCAAAAGGTTTTTAATTTAGAAGTGCAGAGGCGTTTTCTACAATAAATACCTACAATAGTACGATCGAACGTAGAGATTCTATTTGTTACCCGTAAACTTTATATAATGCGTTTTATGTAAACGTGGTACTTGGAAAAAAAAAAAACTAAAATTATGTCGCAACTGAGTCGTAAAATATTTTTTTATTAGAAAAAGTAATTAATTGTCAGACGTAAGAACTCCAGACATTCAAAAAATTTATTGTTTAAATAAAATTCCAAAAAAAGTAATGGAAAATGCCTGAAGACAACAATAAAAACCGCAATTTTTTCGCCTTTGTAGTTAGTAGCTTAAAGTGGCAGGAGATCTGCACGTGACATTATAACACCACTTGAACAATGGGAGATGTTTGACGGAAAACTCGTTAAAAAATCCCTGTGCTTGTCATTTATAAACTGTTCGACCGTTTTTCTGCAACACTTACGAGGGATTTACTTTCACGTGTAGATTGTAGACTGCTGTAATTAAAAAAGTATAGATATGTGATTTCTTTTTTTAAACGTCATTATGTCACGTGCAGATTTCGCGCCATTTTGACTCTTTCTAACCTGAAAACTACAAATTCTAGGAAGTTGTGCGTCCCTATTGTCCGAGAAATGTTTTCCACTTTTTTTTAATAAAAGGTATTTTTAGTGAAAATGTTCGTGGAAAAGTTGGCCACGATTTATAATAGAGAGCTGTACACTTTCTAAGTGACAATAGGTTCAGAAATTACTAAAAAGAACGTAGACGTTTATAAAATCCCTAATGATTAAACTCTAAGTCAAAAAGTACTCAATTAGCAGTGGATTCCAGAGCTGACCTGTTTATATTTTTTTGTTAAAAACTTTTTGCAGTGATAATTCTTGAAACTGCTGAATTACGTGACTCTGTAGTTGTAAATTTTTAAAAAATGAAAGTTTATTTTCCGATAAAACTGTTGTACCACGTCTAGATATCTTAATTAAGCGTTTATAATCTTGCCATCTTTGACATGTAAAAACTAAAGTATACTGACGTTGCTCAAAATGTATTGCCAATTAAACGCTAGATGACGCCAAATATTTCCTGTAAATATATATATTGCTATAGATATATCTATGTTACGTAATTCCAGTGTATCTTCAGAGCGCAGCACATAGATCTCTTGTAATTTTACAGCGGTACGTCAAATTATTCCCAATTTTGTGGTTTAATGTTATGTACTGTGTACATATTTCGCTTCATTTAATTATTAAAAAAATACTACCAGGTTTTCAATTTATTAAATTTTTTCTAGCATATTCTGTTAGAAAAATTTTTATATTTGTTATGATACAAACAACAAAAAGTATCTTGCGGTGGAAAACATTTTGAATCAGAGTTGGCTACAAGCTGTTATAGTCATAGAGTAATACACTAAATGCAATAAAAAAGTTCTTGTTTCACTATTAGACTACTTTACTATTCAAAGTGTAACTATATTATTTTCATGTTTTATTTTGAGATTTTGCACTTCAACCTTTACAGAAATACAAACCATGTCATAAACTGACTGCCAACTGCGTATTAAAACTTTTTCGACCATACGATAATCGTCCCCACGAAATAATTTGACGTACCGTGCATTACAAGATCAGTTTATAAATCACTACATATTTAAAAATCTACTATCAATCTCTAACTATTCTTGAAAATCTAAATGTATAAACCAGCGACTTATAAGCCAGTATTGACGATGTACATATTCTCTCTCCCCAAACCGCCCCTTGTTAGCCCCCCACCCATGTTATTTTTAATGTATTTAAATAAATTTTGTTTTGCAATAAAGCCGTCCGCGTCTGTAATTTACCCCCCACGATCCCGCGCCGCCTCCCGTTTCCATTTATTAAAAAAGGGAATTCTGAGCAAGCAGCACGCAGCAAGGCAGACCCTCGAAAGCGCACCCCAAAAATTAAATTTCTGAATTTAGCTCAGCGCGACGGCCAAAGTGGAGCGGTGGTTCGAGCTGCTGGAGCCGCCTTCGATCTCCCGCCCAGAGAGCGGATTCGTATCCTGCCAAGATCCAGAACTGGAGGAGGACGACGACGAACGAGAGATACTCGAAGGAACGAGGAACCTCTTATCTAAACTTAGTGCACGCAAACAGCGGAAACTGCTAGGGCTAAAATTAGGCAAAGTGACGACGTTTTGACGTATGGAGTTTCTTTGAGTTAGATGTTGGTTTTGGTTAAGAGTTTTTTTAAGGAAGATGTTCGGAGGGGGGAAGGGGCGCGCGCGCGAAAGTGAAATGTAGGAAACGAAATCGACGAAATGACGTCTAAAGACTACCGAAAACGTAAAGAAGTCAACAAAATGCGCTTCTGATGACTTTTAAAGGTGATAAATGTCAAGTAGTTAGTTAATGGTGTAAAGTTAAGCATTCGTTGTGCTACAATTAGGAGACTTTCAATTACGTGACTCAATATTAGATGGTTAATGCATGTGTAAATTATAGATCAAAATACCTGCTCAGGATGAAAAAATATCCAAAAATCAAAAGATGCCAAACATTATTAACTAAAATTTTGATCTCATAGTTGCTATTTTTTAAATTCTTATTAGTAAACAAGATATTACATCTCTTGTAAACAAGGACTAATACAGGATACTATGCAGCTCCATCTGTGCTTACATTTCTGCAACGATGTGAAATTAACGTTTCATTTAGGTAGTTTTTGAAATGTAGATTTTTCAATTTTGACGAGTTAATTTTTGTCTGGAGTCTTTGTAAAGTTTTTCTCCGGTGTTAATAATTTCACGGTTTTGTTTTACACATTTTGCTTTCGTTTCGAAACGTTCATTAAATGTTGAAAGCGCAAATGAAATACTCGCACTATTTTAAATTCGTGTTTGAGTAGATTTACGCGGAAATGGAGCCGAGATGAAAACTCTAATTAAAATAGTCGAGTTAACTGAAAATTCACTCCAGTCACTTCGGCTCTAAATTTAGACATTTTATAATTAGGGAAGTTAATTATAATTATGTTGAAATGAGAACGGTAGTGAACATGTGATAACGCTGTCTCTGTAAAGTTTTTCCAGTGTACGACTGCCATTTGTTACGTATATTTTTTTACACGTTCGATCTAGTTTTGTAGAGTTTATTTTTAATGAATTGTATCTAATCGTTATAGTAACATAGTCAAATGTTAAAATCTAAGTAAGATAAATGACATCAGCTGCAGTATTGTACAAGGCAATAAATTTTAGGAAATAGGCGTTAGATTTATGTACAATGATTTAACATGTATGTAATTAAAAATGCTATGTACAGATGCTTATCTACGTACTATGTAGTAATTTATTGTTCAATCAAGGCTGATTAAACAATTAATTTATATCGATTGTAATCTAGATTTAAGTGCATGACTGATGACAAACAGTAAACGAAAAATAAATTTTTGAATTTACGACTGGTGTATTAATTAGCGATTCAAAGCAACAAACGACAATTTGGAGGTGTTTTCAAAGCTTGTGCAAATTAAACACAGTAATGACTTAATTATAAGCGTTATTATTGAAACTTGAGGTTAATTAGTACAGAGAAAATAAATCAACCCAATTTTTAAAGTAAAGTCTAATTAATAAATCTAAATACTTTGACTTTGAAAAAATGAAGACGTTTAAACATTACGAATGTTTGTTTTTCTTGTTTGTTTTAACGTTCTGCATATTACAACTTTCATTAAGTTTGACTTTAGTAGTTTTTGTGTCAATTTTATATTGCAAGTAGTTCTAAAACTTTAATTATTTAATTAATTCATTTTGAAATAATAGATATTGTGCCAATTTAATCTTTAAACATAAATAAGTTGAACTGTTATTTAAGTATAGACTTTTGTCAAAACAAATAACTAAAAGGTTTTTTTTTTGAAAAATTACAGAACTTTTTTCCGTAATTTATACGAAATTCTGATATTTTATATTTTCTAGTATTTGTAAAATAGTCACGCTTTTGGATTAAAATATTTGTCCCCCAGAGGTTTACATGTTCTTGTTCTACAAAATTGAACTTTTATTATAGTCGTAAATTTTGATGATAGCGAAGGTCCAGTATGAAATTTTTAATCGGGGTCAGTCTTGCTTTATAGGTTTGATCGACCTTTTGCTTAATAGGTATTAAAATTGTTAAAACGGTTCACAAAAACAACAACGATTTTAGTTATGGAAATACACAGATTTTCGTGTCTTGATTTGGATAGATTTTAAAGATACAGAAAAAAACTTTGTGTTGCATTTGAACTTTGTATAATTTTTAGAATGTTTTCAGTCTGCAGAAATCAATTTTCAGCGTTGTGAAATTTTTTCAATAGTTTCTTAAATTGTTCAAAGTCATTATAAAATATTTAATTGTTACAAAAACATAACTCAAGAAATTTACTTATTTTCAGGGCAAATCACTTACACTATCACTGGGTCAAGTTGAGGAATTGAATCTAAACAATGGCTAATTAATAGCCGTCGTACAGTTGAAATTTTTAATAAGATATTTCCGAAAAGAAATTGTAAGACATATTTTATGATTTTATTTATTCTTATAGGAAAATTGAGAAAAATAAGAAAAACCGCAATTACAAGTGCTCAAAACTAATTTTAAAATTTTATATATATCAGAGATTAGATATTAGAACATAGAATTTGTGTTGTGGTGGGTTGCCTATAATCTCGGGCATGAAAATATTCCGCCGAAATACTTGAGAGTATTTGAGAATATGAAACCCTGCGTTAATTTAAATATGTAAAGAAGTTGGGGACCAACACTTCCAGCAGTTGTTGTAAATTAAATTAAATATGTTACTTCTCATAAAACATTTTAAATCCAACAAGGATTCAAGTTGTGTTGCCATTAAAATTTTATAATTTTTAAAATTAAAACTGTGTGAAATTACGATCTACTTTTCGATTGAATTTATTCTGTCAACAAATTCTTGGGTATCTGGATCACAAATAAAAAAAATCATCCTTCTATTTTTGCATTTTTACTTCCCGAGCGTAAGCAAAGGAAGTATTGTAATCGAGTCCGTCGGCCGACTCTCTACTTTTACGTTTTCTCGATCTTTCATGACCCCTAGAAGACGAAGAAATAGGTCTCCCATTTCCGTCTGTCTGTCCGTCCGTCTGTCCGTCCGTCTGTCCGTCTGTCCGTCTGTCCGTCTGCCGTCCCGGATTTTTATTAGACAGACAATCTCCGAAAGTACTCGACCGATTGTTGTGAAATTTTGTACTTATATTAAGAATATCATGTAGATGGTAAAACGTTAACCAAAATTTGTCTAATCATCCCCACCACTAATGCGATGACGTCACTTCAAAATTGTACATAGTAAATGGGTTTTCAATTTTATAAAATAACATAGTCCTACACATGTAGTTTACAACTGTGAATCGACTTTTCACCCGAAACGCCCAGATTTTTGGAAAAAAAATCAAAATTATAAAACAACATTTTGAAATTAAATTTTTAATCTGCTAACCAGAATGCTTTGAAATGTTGCAGATGTTTTAAGGCTATAAAGAGCATCATAAATCTTTATTCAAAAAATATTTGCTTATCCCCTCCAAAAACTTGATGACGTCAGCTCAAAAGTTTGTGGAATAAATCATATCTAAAATGTACAAAATATGATGAGTCTATACTTGTGATCTATCACTCCATTCATATTTTTTGGATTTGCATATACAGAGTGACTCAAAAAAATTAATGAATGCGTAAATATATTTTATTGATTTAATCAGGAACTACAAAACCGAATGCTTTGAAATCTTGCAGATGTTTTAAGGTTATAAAGAGCATAATAAATGTTTAGTCAAAATATATTTGCTTATCCCCTCCAAAAAACTGATGACGTCAGCTCAAAAGTTTGCCGAATAAATCGTATCTAAAATGTACAAAATATGATGAGTCTGTACTTGTGATTTATCATTCCATTCATATTTTTGGATTTGCATATGCAGGGTGACTCAAAAAAATTAATGAAGGCGTGAATTTATTTTATCGATTTAATCAGGAATTACAAAACCGAATGCTTTGAAATCTTGGGAATATTTTAAAGTTATTATAAGCATGGTAAACTTTTGTTCAAAATGTATTTGTTCATCCCTCCTAAAAAAATTGATGACGTCACCCTTAAATTTTGCTGAATAAATGCTATCTAAAATGCAAAAAATATGATGAGTTTGTACTTGTGATTTAACATTCCATTCATATTTTTTAGATTTTCTTAAGAGGTGGTTCAAAAAAATTAATGAAGTCAATTTATTTTATTGATTAAATTAAAGGCAACACTTATTATTAGTATCACACAATAACCCAATTTGGTAGACACAAAATTTGTTAAAGGAAAAACTCGGTTGAAACATAAAGGTAGCACGTTTATTTACATCGACTTTAACATTACAGACCTGCATTTGTTATATGCGCTCACTTGGTTCCGCGAATGTGGAATAGACATGTTTATAATCAACCAATTGTGAATTTCACCGTCAAGAATTAAAATAAAACCCAATGTTTTATATAACAAGCGGAAGTCGAAGCAATAAAACCGATGGTCGTTTTGTTTACAGTTTCTCTGTTTGACTCTCACGTATGCTGTTACGCTTGTCATCTTAAATTAAGAATGTTTATACATAAACGATTTTCAGTTGCCTTTCATATTACTAGACAGCGGATTTTTGTCGGGCTACGTGACGTTTAATCGGTACTAATTCCATAAATATAATTAACGATTTATTAATCAAACGGCTAAGTAAATGAGAACGGGAATTAACAGCAAAGTCCAACGAAACAGCGGTACGAGCCGTACCGAGTTTGGCCTTGCCTAGCCCGACAGAAATCCGCTCTCTAGATATTACACACCGACGCCGTATACGTGAGTAAATTGTTTCGTTATTTTATTGATTATAAGAAATCAATATTCAAAACGACCCAATTCATTTTCCCGAAAATTTGGGAATACAATAATTTTATTCTTAGTATTACACTACATCTATCCCAACTGATATACGTGTCCTTGCAAAAATGTTGATGACGTCATCACAATTATTTTTAAATTCCCACTACAAAAATGTAATGAGAAAAAAAAACACAATAGGCATGCAGTCGTCAAGTTTCCGACAGCGAGGGAAGTACTGTCTAAACTCTTTAGACCAATTTTTTGTTTTATTTTTATTACCGCCGCATAAGTTTTTTTTTCTTCTTTGCTTTTTAAGTATGTCGGTGTTCCGTAAAGACATATTTGCGGTTTTCTCCGGAAACTAAGTAAGCATGCAAAGAATGTTATTGTTACATGTTGTTGTTATGCTTCCACATTTTTGAGATAAATACGATCCAAGAGTTTATTTCTTTGTGTCGGTGAGAGAAGTTTGATGGAATATCTAAGTATTAAACAAAATTTCTGCAGCAGTAAGTTAATTACGGAGAGAAATATCATATCCTCTCTTTTTTTTAGTGAAGCTACAAATGTGACAAGAGTTTCAGCCGGGTAATATAAAATTTAATTAGTGAGGAACAAAATAAATGGTGTAGTTGTAAAATTTTACTGCTCATTATTATTTGCATTTTCTTGCACACACCCAGTATGAATTTTAATCTAGATACTTGAGCTACCAACATAACAACTAGAATTTTCTTTCGTTATGAACCCGGCGCCTCCACCATTTTCGTATTCAAGATGATTTAAAGCTTAGGTAGTTGCACCTGCTACAAACATTCAATTTTCTCCCGCCAATCAATTTCCACGCGTCGATGACAAACGAGCCTATTGATTGTTGACTTTGTCTCCGCCAGCCAAAACTAATTACGTAGTGATAGACAATTTTGCTTGACCTGAGCCGGATGAGGCACTTTATTCGCCCTCCTCCCGACACACGAACCCTCCAATAAAATTTCCGCAGCACTCCAAGTTTCGGGAGGTTAAGTACCTGTAATTATCACGTGAGCTAACTTTAATTATGCTCATACCGTCAGTCTAACGTCGCCTGAAGAGACCGTCGTCGATATCAACCCTCCGGCATCTCTAAACCACCTATGAGATAACAACTAGATAACACCCACTTAATAAATTATCGATCTCGCAGAATCATCCCTTCTTGGTAGCGCGGGGTTCTTGAAAATTTTGCGTGCTTGGGCGGCGCTGTGCTTTCATTAATTAATTAATTCGCCCTGTTTTAAATTCGCCTACGCGTGAGAATAAACACGTGGACAAAGTTAAGGGATTTTCGTGTTCTGATTAGGTTAACGAGGAAAATCATGAGCGGAAGTACTTAAAATTGTACGGAGATAGATTGAGTAATTTATTTTGGTTTGGTCGTGACGTCATCGAAGTTGTGGTGGGGATTTGCTTGAATTTGTACTTCTTATCGACGATTCAAATCGTGTAAACACAATTATTATTAATTTTTTTGCAAAAACAACTCAATTTTTATTCCAGTTGTGTAGCGTGCAGCGTCCACATATCGAGACGAACCCTCCTCACGCACATCCCTGTTTTTTTTCGTCGCGCTTATAATCCGCATAATTAAAACTCCGCCGCTTACTTTGAGTAATTCTTCGCACATTAGCATAAGTAATAACCCGGTGGCTATCATATATCACGGCGGTAGGAGCGCTGTGTGGAAACAGAGCGAGGATTAGTGAAGGTTGGGGGTGGCGACAATGTAGATGTCCAGGTAATGCGCAAGGTGTGGTAGGAATAGATAAACCGGTCATGTCAACATACGCGAATATATCACACCGAATGTACACAGTCGCATCTGCAACTTAATTTGTTTTGGCAACGTGTAATCGGACTAGACTTCAAAGTCGCTCGTTAGTAACATTAGTAGCTGTTCAACATGGATGCCAACTTCAAAGAGACTGAAAAGATCAAGCGTGAGACGCCTACGGGAATACTTAGGACGGAATCGGGGAAGTCCAGGAGGGCCTCGGTCGACTTCAAGTTCCTCAAGCAGGTGGGTGAAATATTTTTGAATTTTTTATAAAGGCGAGGCGTGGTTTTGAAAGGTTCGTGTGGTGGAAAAGTTTAATTAAGTTCGAAGGATGCGGACGGCGTGGGGTGAATGTAGGGTTATAATCACTTTAAAAAGTAAAAAAGGCGGTTATGTTTGATGTTGCTACGTTTTTCATTTTCCGGGTTTATAATGGAATGTAACATCATTCGGGTTTTTGTTTTTCTGTAATTATAATTTGGATAAGAAAACATGAAACATATCGAAAACCGTTGATCAAAAATTATATACAGTAAGGAAATATGACTGGTTTGTTATTCACTGTCAATGGTCACGTGTTCGCGCACGCGCACATTTCCACCACGTCACGAAATAATATATTAATTAAATTAATTATAAAACACGAGAGTTTAATTTTTGTTGACATAACCTAGCTTTCTAAGTTCAGCCACAGATAATTCATATTCGTGTTATATTCTGAAACTCCGAATTTGTCACAATAATGCACATTGTTAAAATAAAGTGAATTACGTGCTAAATTCAATGAAATTTTATATGTATTGTTTTTTTATAAAAAATTGACGAGTTTGTTCTGTCAGCAAATTCTAGGGTAACTAGATCACAAATCAAAAAAATTACCTCGTATTACTTTACCTGAAAGTTTCGTAAAACTTCTTTAAATACAGATTTTTAAATTTATTATCCCGGCGCCTCCACCATTTTCATTGGGAAAAAAAAAATTCTAATCGGTCCGCACTGGTCTTATTTTTCTGTGAAACTGTTTTAGGTTAATAAGGACTTATTTTACATGTATTTATAAATTAATTCCGAAGAATGAGGTCCACTTTCTGATTATTTCATAACTCTTTGGACATCCAGATAGTTTCAGAAATATAATTTCGAAAATAAATAGAAATATTTAAATTCAAGTATAAACTCAGAGGGTAATTTTATCACAACTTTTTCTAATTAAGAAAAAAACACAGTGATTAGAATCCAAGTTTCAAAACAATTACGTGATAAATTCGATCAAATTTTATATGTACATATTTTTGTTTAATTACAAGCTGTCAATTTACGACCAACTTTTCAGACGAATTTGTTCTGTCAACAAATTCTAGAGTAACTTTTTTAAAATACAATTTTTTAAATTTATTATCCCGGCGCCTCCACCATTTTCATTGAAAAAAAAAATATATATATATATATATATAAATTATTCCAATCAATTCGTATGGTGTTATTTGTCATTGAAACAGTTTCAATATAATGGGGATTATTTTCCGTGTCCATAAATTAATTTGGAAAAAAAAACTCCATTTCTCGCAAAAAACTAATTTTAAATTTTCAAAATCAATCCCCAAAAGAACCATTTACCTGATATCAAAATTGTGTTTGGTGTATTATTTGTTTGTCTATGCAGATAGAGAAATATAATTTCGCAAAATTTTTTAAACAAATATTTAAATTCTAATATATGTAAATTGAGAGGGTAATTCGATCACAATTTTTTGTAATAAAACAAAAGCACATATTGATTAGAATCCAGGCTTAAAAAGAAACGAAAACTCGAAAAACAGCTGCTCGATTCCCTACATGCGTTATAATACATTTTACATTGACAAATAGAGAAATTCAAATTTTATAAAAATCTAAGTTAGCCCCACCCACCCACCCATTCTCTGTTTCAAAGACTTTTATTATATTTTGGCAAACACTGGAATCTGAACGAAAGAAATGTAAAATTAACCCCGCCCACCCGCCCCTTTTCTTTTTAATGACGAAATTTGTTGCTTCCGAGAAAGTAATCTTAAATATCAAAATATTTCTGATGGACAAAATACTCAGTTACGGAAATTTGTTGAGAAAACTAATTCTAGTTCTAATTGTGGTCAAAATCAACCCCTAAAAGAACAATTTATCTACGATCAAATTTATGCTTGTTGTATTACTTGTTTAGATATCTAGATACTTAAGGAAATATAATTTCTTAAAAACTCTTAAAATAAAAATGTTTAAATTTAGAGGGTAACTTGATTACATTTTTTTATACTAATTTTTTTTTTATTTTTCGATTTTTCAATCTTCCAACTTCTCGATTTTCAATTTTTCCATAATTTAGGGTTGGCATCTTTCAATTTTTCGATTTCTCAATTTTCCGATGTGTGTTTAACAGGTCTTCAATTTTTAGATTTTAAAACTTTGTAATTTTTGACGATTTTTCGATTTCTCAATTAATACATTTTTCGACTTTTCGTTGTTTCGATTTCTGGATTTCTTGATTTCTTGAATTTTCGATTTTTCACTTTTTCAATTTTTCGATTTTTCATCTAGAATTTTCGATTTTTTGACTTTAATTTTTCGAATTTTCGATTTTTCAATTTTTCGATGTTTCAGTTTTGGGATTTTTCAGTACGTATTTCGGTTCTTCAATTTTTCAATTTTTTAATTTAAGATTTTTCAATTTTTCGATTTTTTTAATGTTTGGATTGGGTGGATTTTCAATTTTTTCGTATTCTAATTTTTCAATTTTTAAAATTTTAGAATTTTCAATTTCTCGATTTTTCAGTTCTTCGTCATTTCTATTTGTGAATTTTTCTATTTTTCATTTTTTTGTTGTTTTGGTTTCTTGATCTTTATTTTCCCTTAAATTTTTCGGTTTTTAAAATTTTTTGATTTTTGACGCTTCTAAATTTTCGGTTTCTTAATATTTCAATTAATCGATTTAATTAGTTTCCCATTTCTCGATTTCTCGACTTTTCCAGGTTTCGATTTCTCGAATTTTCGATTTTTCACTTCTTCAGTTTTTTGAATTTTCAATATTTCAATTTTCCGATTTTTAAATTTTAGATTTTTCAATTTTACGATTTTTTAATGTTTGATTTTTCGGCTTTTCAATTTTCTTATTCACTAATTTTTCAGTTTTTCGTTATTTCTATTCGTGAATTTTTCGATTTTTCATTTTTTTGTTGTTGCGATTTCTTGATCTTTTTTTTTTCTCTTAAATTTTTCGGTTTTTTAAATTTTTCGACTTTTGGCGCTCTCAATTTTCGATCTTTCGGTTTTTTTATTTTTCAATTAATCGATTTATTAATTTTTCCATTTTTTGACATTGGTTTTTCGAATTTTAAATTTTTCAGTTTTTCGATGTTTCAGTTTTGGGATTTTTCAGTATGTATTTCAGTTCATTAATTTTCCGATTTTTAAATTTTAGATTTTTCAATTTTTCGATTTTTTAATGTTTGATTTCTCGGCTTTTCAATTTTCTCATACACTAATTTTTCAATTTTTAAAATTTCAGAATTTTCAATTTCTCGATTCTTCGGTTTTTAAAATTTTTCGATTTTTGACACTCTTAAATTTTCGATCTTTCGGTTTCTTAATTTTTCAATTAATCAATTTATTTATTTTCCCATTTCTAGATTTCTCGACTTTTCCAGGTTTCGATTTCTCGATTTCTAGATCTCTTGAATTTTTCGATTTTTTGACTTTGATTTTTCGAATTTTCGATTTTTCAGTTTTGGGATTTTTCAGTATGTATTTCGGTTATTTAATTTTTCGATTTTTAAATTTTAGATTTTTCAATTTTTCGATTTTTTAATGTTTGGATTTTTCGGCTTTTAATTTTTTCATATTCTAATTATTCAATTTTTAAAAGTTCAGAATTTTCGATTTATCGATTTTTCAGTTTTTCGACATTTTTATTTGTGAATTTTTCGATTTTTTTTATTGACACTTCTAAATTTGCGATCTTCCAGTTTCTTAATTTTTCAACTAGTCGATTTATGTATTTTCCCATTTCTCGATTTCTCCACTTTTCCAGGATTCGATTTCTCGAATTTTCGATTTTTCACTTCTTCAATTTCTCGATTTTTCATCTAGAGTTTTCGATGTTTTGACTTTGGTTTTTCGAATTTTCAGTTTTTCAATTTTTCGATGTTTCAGTTTTGGGATTTTTCAGTATGTATTTCGGTTCTTCAATTTCTCGATTTTTCAGTTCTTCGTCATTTCGATTTGTGAATTTTTCGATTTTTCATTTTTTTGTTGTTTTGGTTTCTTAATCTTTTTTTCCTTAAATTTTTCGGTTTTTAAAATTTTTCGATTTTTGACACTTCTAAATTTTCGATCTTTCGGTTTCTTAATTTTTCAATTAACCAATTTATTTATTTTCCCATTTCTCGATTTCTCGAATTTTAGATTTTTCATCTAGAATTTTCGATTTTTTGACTTTGATTTTTCGAATTTTCGGTTTTTCCAATTTTCGATGTTTCAGGTTTGGGTTTTTTCAGTATGTTTTTCGATTCTTCAATTTTTCGATTTTTTAATGTTTGGATTTCTTTTCAATTTTTTCGTATTCTAATTTTTCAATTTTTAGAAGTTCAGAATTTTCGATTTCTCTATTTTTCAGTTTTTCGTCATTTCTATTAGTGAATTTCCCAATCCTTCTATTTTTCCAATTTTTAATTTTAAATTTTTCGGTTTTTAACATTTTTCCATTTTGACGTTTCTAAATTTTCGATCTATCGGTTTCTTAAGTTTTCAATTAATCGATTTTTTTATTTTCCCTTTTCTCGACGTTTCCACATTTCGATTTCTGGATTTCTCGATTTCTTGAATTTTCGATTTTTAACTTCGAATTTTCGATTTTTGAATTTTTCGATGTTCCAGTTTTGGAATTTTTCAATTTTTCGGGTTTTAAATTTTAGATTTAATTCACATTTGATAGTAAAAGTTAAATCGCAAAATTTTTGGGATGACGTTAACAATTTGTTGGTGGGGATGACCAGTCAATTTTCGGTTATCATATTATCATCTACACGATATTCCTAAAGTATACCTCAAAATTGTCGTTATTAGCCCCACCCACCCGCCCTTCTCTTTTTCAAGACCAAATTTATTTACTTCAGGATGAATAGTGCAATTTATATTGGCAAATAGAGGAATTCAACTTTTACAAAAAAATAACTTAGCCCCACCCACCCACCCATTCTCTATTTCAAAGA